ATGTGACTGTTCGACCAAACTTTCGTGAGCTGCGTCATAGCGTTACGGCCCAGTTGAATTCTGCGGCGTATTTCCATTTCACTACCGGTATTAGATATAAGTGCACCTAAATAAATAAATTGTTGCACAATTTCGCAGCGATCTATGATCATCACCTTAGTCTTTCTGTAATTGATGCGAAAGCCGAACTCTCTACTGGTAGTTTTCAATCTTGTTAGAATTGTCCTCAGTTCCAGCTGGTTTGCGGTTATCAAGAGGAGTATTAGGATTAGGAGTATTGTGGTTACGAAGCTAGAGTAATGATATATAAAACCCCAGAGTTCCCAGCTGGCAAAGGAGTCGGACAGGGATACACGATATCCCCAAAGCTGTTTACAGCAACACTAGAAGGAATCTTCCGTCGACTAGACCGGACCAACAAAAGACTAAAAATGAATGAAAAATATCTTAACCATCTAAGATTCGCTGATAACATAGTCCTAATAACCAACAGTCCTGAAGACCTACAAACACAAATTAACGAACTAAATACAGCCAGAAAATACATTCTAATAAAAAACTCAAAACTGGAAATAGTAGAAGAATACATATTTTTGGGACAACTAATAGACAGCTCGGGATCTCTACTACCAGAAATCAACGAAAGAATTAAGTTAGCATCGAGTACTTATGGAAGAAACTCAATCATATTCAAATCCAGAATGCCACTTTATATAAAGAAGAAAACATTCGACCAATGTGTAATCAGTCATAACCTTTTAAACCTTAAAGGACCTTAAAACGGACATTATAAGGAAACTACAGGTCGCACAACGCTCTATGGAACGAAATATGCTGGGAATAACCAAGAAAGACCGCGAAAAAATAGAGTGGATACGACAAAAGACCCATATAATAGACGTCATAAACAAAATCAAATCCCTCAAGCAATGGGCAGAACAACTGACAAGGACAGACAAAAGAAGGACCACAAAAATTACAACATGGTACACACGAGGAATTAGAAAGACCAAACCTGAGATAGGACCATAATATTGGGAAATTAGCGGGGATAACTTGGGCCCACATAGCCAACAATAGATAACAATGTGCCCAGCTACAAAGAGAGTACCTAAACATGTGAGGGAGGCTACACCATAGTTGGAAATGGTTGAATAAGCCGTGAATGATGATGATGATTTATATATTGAAGGCGGAGTCGACATAACGACCTCACATTTTTGACAGTTTTGTTTGAGGCTTCAATTGACACATTTAAGCACTCTGAACTTTCAATTTATGATATGTATCATTTATTCTACATAATGAATTTGTTTCAGAGGTAGTAAATGCAGAAGGATATTGGAGTCAGAATTTAAATTAACAGTGACATTTCTCCACTACAACCCGAAAAAAATTACGTGATATTTGCCGAAACCCTCCCTCTCCTCAACGTGAGATTAACCCCCTCCCTTGACTCCCTGAAAAAGATATGAAAAAGACGAAATAGAAACCGTGTCCTTTAAACCAATATTCAAATATGATTATAGTAACAATTATATCGTTTGTTTTAGACAAAAAAAAAGTTTTGCATATTTTTGGGACATTATATCATTGTTTTGTTGTACTGGCCCGAGCCGTGTCAATTTATTAACCCTTCCACTATCTCATTACGGTCGCAACGATGATAAATGATCGTTGTCTACGACACAAACGCCTATTTGTTCTCGTTCCGTTTCGCTGTGTGTATGCGGCGCAATTTTCAAAATTGATAAAAATTGCTGAACGTGATTAACGACTTCGGCTTCGTTTTGAATAGACGGCAGCGCCACCACGCTTGAACTAGTTTAATTTCTGACGAAGGGAAGTTTTAGAAAACGTATATTTGGTGGTTGCAGTAATAGTTTCCGATTAGTCATTCTTCTGACAGTTCGGAGTTAACTATAAAATGGGAAGTCGGGGGAGAAATCACTGCCAAAATTTGTACACTGAAATTCTCTTTTCGAGAAATATTCCTCGAAATTCCCCGAAATACCTAGCTGAATTTCGTTCGTATCGTGACGTCATAGGAGATTAAGCTATCTGTACTCTGTATTAACAAAATAATGTTAATTCAGGTCTTATGTTAAATTAATAACAGAACAAACCAAAATAATACCCTTCATATACCGTATCATCGAAAAAAAATAATTCAGTTGGCTTGGAAATGACGATCGATGATAACATTCCCTATACATATAATTTTCCATATAAAATGAAAGCGATCTTCATTTCATAGCCATCGCTAACGCCGTTTTTTTTGTAGGTAGATTTTTTAATTTAAATTCTTTAAAAATGGGGGAATTACCGTAATCTTCTTTATGTAACTCCTACTGTTCTTTATAATAATTAAGCACGTTGTGCATCTCTGACCGTGGTCGTGGTTTTAACCGGTGCGCCATATTTCACGTAATGATAACAATGGTCACGGCAGAGGGATCCACTCACGACCGATCTGTCCTCCTCCCTGTTTGCCATTTTTTTTCGTTCGCTCGGTATATATATATTTCGTGTACGACGAAACAATGGGATCGTAAATTTCAACGATATTTCTTATTCCGTTTCGTCGTTTTGAATGTTCACGATTTTTCGGTCAAGAGGTTATGTTATAATACGTAGAGCAGAGGCGGTACCAATAACAGTTGGTTTTAAAAAAGTATCAATTAATCAGGGGCGTACACATAATGTAGACAAAAAGAGCCTAGACAAAATCATAAATTATTTTCTTTATATCATCTATACTAATATATAAAATCTTTAAGTGACTGACTCACTGATTAATCACGATCCTGCTCAAACCACTCAACGTAAGAAGCTCAATTTTGGCATACAGGTTGATATCTTTAGCATACAGGCTGATACAGGGTGTAGAGGTTCGATAAGAAGGGATTTTTCGAAATTCCAGTTCCAAGGGGGTGAAACCGCTCAAATATTACAATAATTTTTATTTAAAAAACGGCCAAGTTCCCGAAAAACCGCTTAAAGACGTATATTTTATTTTGTTTTTTTTACATATTTGTACATATGTATACATGTTTTACATATGTATACAGAGTGTTTCAAAAAATCTGGTCATTGATTAATCACGATCCTGCTTAAAGCGCTTGACGTAAAAAGCTGATTTTTGGAAAACGGATTGAATTTAGGGTGTAGAGGTTCGATAAGAAGGGATTTTTCGAAACTCGAATTCTAAAGGGGTGAAAATAAAAAACCCAAACCAAACCACCCCTCAAATATTAGAATATTTTTTTATATAAAAACCGGTGAGTTTTTCGGAAAAAACTCTTATATTTTATTTTGTTGTTTTACATATTTTAAGATTTTTTAAAAATGTATACAGGGTGTTTCATAAAATATGACCATTGAGTAATCACGATTCTGCTTAAACTGCTTGACGTTTAAAGCTGATTTTTGGCAAACGGATTGACTGTGGGGTGTAGAGGTTCGATAAGGAGGGGTTTCTCGAATCCCAAATTCCAAGAGGGTGAAAACGCCCCTGAAATATTACAATATTTGTTATTTAAAAAACGGTTAGTCTTTCGGGAAAACGCTTGGAAACGCATAATTTATTTAGCTTTTTTACATATTTTGAAATTTTTAAAAAAATCATATAGGGTGTTCCAAAAAGTTGGCTAATTCATTAACCACGATTCTGCTTAAACTGCTTCACGTAAAAAGCTTATTTTTGGCAAACGGATTTTTCGAAAGTCAAATTCCAACGAGATGAAACACCCCTCACATATTACCAAGTTTTATATAATAATATCGCCATATTGTTTTTTCTCATGCTGACATAAATGTGAGAAAATTTTATCCAGTTTGTATGTCAATGGAAATTCTTGCTTTGCTTTATCATCACCATTACAAATGATTAATTCGACGCGAACGAAATCGCGGGTACACGCTAGTATCTAATACAATCTCTATCTTTATCTTTAGTGTTTTAATCGAATCAGTTGTTTATTATATTAAATCAATACTAGTTCTTCATTGTTAACTATAAAAGTGTAATTTACTAGTGCATTCAAATGATATTGAACAACAATAATGCCACTCATCTGGAATTAAATGCAAAATCATAATTATTTTACATTCAAGTTATACTGAATGCAAAGTTTTTTTAATACGTCCGTCGCATTATAAAACTCTATTATGCATGTATTTATAGTAAGGTCAAGTAGGTAAACAATAATAGGATATATTGAAATATCACCCAGGTATTCGAAGAACCAACACCAATTTTCTACTTGAACAAACAACAATAGCCTTAATTAAATATTGTCCAGGAATTACTGATTTTGTTCGATGATAATGCACCAATTAAAGAAGGATGTATCGAGACAGAGCACTGTTGCCAACTCTTCGCTAATCGTCCTCCTAAATCACAGCAAAAATCCTACTAAATCTTCAAAATTTCTCCAAATTTTCAAAAAACTCAATTTTACTTTCCTGTTGGCTATTGACTATGGTTTTTTCCAAGTCCAGATATTTTAAGGGGTGGTAAATCTTCTCAAAATAATCATATTTTTCTTTACCATTTAATAAATCTGAAGCTAGAAAATGGCATTTTATTCCTTGAAATTATTGCAATACAAAACCTATCGATAATCCTACTGACCTACTAACGACAAAATTTCTTCTCGAAGCCTCTACGAAATCTAATAGATTTAGTAGGATTCCTAATGAGTTGGCAACACTGATAGCTTCAAAAAAAAACGGCTGATTATTAATTTTTAAATTATATACGGCGTCCTAAACGAGTCATTCACACCTCTAAATCAAAAGTTTAATGAGCCGTTGTATAAACAACGGCCCCGCAGAATATAAAAGAGCTAAAGAAGAAGAAAAGAAGTAAAAAAAAGGTTAAACGGGCCTCAAGGAGATTGTTCTGCGATCGACCAGTGGCGACTCGTGTGCGTCGAGATTTATTGTAATTGAAAAAACCCGAGTTTGGAACTTAGTAATTTAAAAAAAATACTCACCAGAAGCAAACGTCAAGGCGAACAATATATGGATGTACTGGGTGATATGTCGGATTATCTTGGAAATCTGCAAAAGAAATCATAGTTTAGTTAATTAGAAATAAAATAGTTAAAAATACAATTATTAAAACTACAAAATTAGTTAATAGTTCTAATGTATCAAGGGAATTATACAGGGTGGTCCGAAATGTATTCCGGAAACTTCGGCAGCATATTCTGCCGATAAAAATAAGTAAAAAAGTTCGTATAAATGTTAGTTTCGGAGATACAGGCTGTAGGAGTTTCATTTTTATTTCGATTTTTTCCAAATAATTTCAATATTGAAGTAACGTCAATATTTGGATGAAAATTGGTATCTGGGAGTTTTTTGTTATGGGAAATTTGATTTTGATGTCAATATGACTCCTATTTGTAGAGGGCGCCACCTACATATTTTTTAACTGATTTGAAGACTAATAACTTTTCGTCCGTTGAAATGTTTTAGTGCCAAAAGTTCAGAAGAGAAGAAACATTATATTTTTTGTCAATAATGACATGTATTGACTATTTTTATTCTAAATATCTTGAGAACGGTTGCTCGTAGCGATTTTTACCAAGAGACCGTTTTTACGTAAAAAACGTCGTAAATGTATATTTTTTACTTAGTAGTTTTATACAGTTACGGACGAAAAGTTATTACACTTCAAACCAGTTAAAAAATATGTATGTGACGCCCTCTACATGTAGGAGTATATTGACAAAAATAAAATTTCTCTGAGTACCTATGTGACTTTTTTGATGACAAAAAAATCGAAATAAAAATAAAACATGCACACCCTTTAATATGTTTTAGGAAGTCCAATTTTGAAGTTTATCACCTCTGTTAATCTATACTAATATATAAAATCCTTAAGTGACTCACTGATTAATCACGATCCTGCTCAAATTACTCAACGTAAGCTCAATTTTGGCATACAGATTGATTCTAGGGTGTACAGGTTCGATAAGAAGGGATTTTTCGAAATTCCGGTTCCAAACCGGTGAGTTTTTCGGAAAAACTCTTAAACACGTATATTTTATTTTGTTGTTTTACATATTTTAAGATTTTTTAAAAATTATACAGGGTGTTTTATAAAATATGAGCATTGAGTAATCACGATTCTGCTTAAACTGCTTGACGTTTAAAGCTGATTTTTGGCAAACAGATTGACTGTGGGGCGTAGAGGTTCGAAAGGAGAATCTCGAATCTCAAATTCCAAGAGGGTGAAAACGCCCATCAAAAATATTACAATATTTGTTATTTAAAAAACGGGAAAACTTTCGGGAAAACGCTTGGACACTCATAATTTATTTTGTTTTTTACATATTTTGAAATTTTTAAAAAATTATACAGGGTGTTCCAAAAAGTTGGGTAATTGATTAACCACGATTCTGCTTAAACTGCTTGACGTAAAAAGCTTATTTTTGGCAAACGGATTTTTCGAAAGTCAAATTCCAACGAGATGAAACTACCCCTCAAATATTACCAAGTTATATAATAATATCGCCATATTGTTTTTTCTCATGCTGACATAAATGTGAGAAAATTTTATCCAGTTTGTATGTTAATGGCAATTCTTGCTTTGTTTTATCATCACCATTACAAATGATTAATTCGACGCGAACGAAGTCGCGGGTACACGCTAGTATATTATAAACATGTAATGACGTCACGAAATTGAATCTAATGTTTTCTTTACAGTTGAAGCCGATAAAAAGACAACACAAGAAAAATTCAACATTTGCGGAGACGTTCTTTAAATCAGCCAGCATTTCGTACAGTATCGGTACCGCAAGAAGAATGTCCTCGACATGGGCAATGTCGTCGTCTTCGGCGACTTCGTGCTGCGAGCCCCAGGTCCCGGGGCTCTATCAGTCTACGATCGGGCCGGCCGTAGATCGTAAACAGCCCCCCTGACAAGCGGACATCGGTGCTTCCCGCAGAGGGTAGCGCTGGCAGACGATGAGTTAGTTTTAGCGGTGGGCTTGTAAAGGTGTCTCGATGGTCGTGTCTAGTCGGTCGGGTGTTGGTTTATTTATAATTTTGATGGTAGACACGAAACACACCTATCATAAATTTCTGATATTTGCATAATGTCGTCTTTGATTTTTTTAGAAAAGGCTGGATATTTCGTTACTGAAACAGTGTAACACAATACACTTAGATCCATTTTGTTACCCAAACAACCAACCTAACCAATGAACGCGCTAAATAAAAAATGAAAATATACAAGATACTAAGTGAATGCGAGCAATTTTATATTAGTGGAAATTTTTTGAAAATATATTTGTCCACATTCAATAGGCGTTAACAATGCAGAAATTAAAATGGAAGAACCGTTAGCTTTAACAGAATTTTTTTTAATCCAATCAAATATAAGTTGAATAATAGGCAATGTAAGGGATAACATTAAATTGGGCTAAACGTTGGCAACGTTGACAGACATCTGGCGTAAATTCGCTTTGTTTTTTTGTGGTAATGTGTAATTGTTTTGTTATCGTTGTCAAAAGTGTTGTGCGGTATTTTGCCTACGGAAGAACTTTTCTGTGTAAATTTAAGGTAAACTAGGCACTAGCAAGAATGTAATAGTGCTTGTTTTCCATTTTTCAAGTCATAGCAAAAGTTAAGCATGCAAGGGAAAAATATATTTTAAGGAACCTCGTGACTATGAACTTATTAAACGTTTTGATATGCTTGAAGTAGCGGATTTGAAAAGACGAATAACTCCCGTTGAAGAAAATTCGGGCATACTTTATTTTATCCACGATGAAGAACTTCATTAAAACAACTTTGTACCAATAAGTAATATTATGTTTATGAATGTTTTTTTAATTGTTTCGTACGCTTTAAAATGTTTACTATGTTTTCCCTTTTAATATTTAGAAGGTTATGTCGTTATTTTCTATAATTTTTAATAAATATACTAAAGAAGTAAATTGTAATTTTAAGATATGTGGATCACTTTAAATATTGAGGTGATCCAATATTCTTAAAGTTTAATTTGTTCTAACTTTCACCAACATTCTTCCTCGTCACACTCGCCCTGTGCAATAGAATAACTTTTACTGGCAAACTTTAGTAAATGTTACTTTCACTATATAGTGAATGTTAGAAATTACTAGGAAAAGTCTCTTTAAAATACCACTCACTAAATTCACTGGTCCAATGCGTAATTGTTAGCATTTCCTAGTGAATGTTAACAATCACTGAATTTCCGATTTTCACTGTAACATATTATACAACGTAATACAACTTTGAAACTAAAATCCTTCAGAGGAATATCAGCATAACCGGATACGCTGAATGAAGATTCTCCTAAAAAACTAGAAAATCCAAAACAGGGTGACCTATCTGAGAAGTTTACATGTAATTTTAAGCTGTCATTTTTAACATTTTTTTTAATCCACGCTTAAACCAAAATCAAGGTCTAAATAAAACTGATAAAATCTGAACTATTCTATAAAAGATAGAAGAATAGAATAATGAAAATAAGGTTTTTAATGCAAAAAAATTATTAACAAATTCAAGTTTTTAACAAAAAGTCAGTAGTTTTCAAAAACATCACTCTAATTAAGCCTTTCATAAACCACCAATAACTTAATCACGATCATAACCTCCAAATTATGATGGGCCACGCCCATAATAGAGAAGAACTTCGACCCACTGGTAGTTCCGTTAATAGCAAAAATACGTAGGTCACAAATACCAAATACCATCGGCACACCGCCCGATTTCGAGTCGGCATTTTTCACCAACATCAAAGACCTTATTGACCGGCTCGCTACAGCCAGTAACGCGGAACGTGCGTGATTGAAGGCTTATTATGACCAGTGGCGGACCATAAATATTTTACCTTCGTGAATATACACGATGAATTTCTAATTCTTTAATTATTACTCAGGTTTTAAGTTATAACTCCTTATAAGGTATTTCGAAAAAACTTCTGAACTTTTGAACTACAGAGTTTTTTTTTTAATTCTCTGCTTTAAACCTCATTATCTCAATGCAATTGTTGGTTGACTTAACAGATTGACTTATACTTCCATATGATGGCTTCAAAACATGTATAAGAGGAAAAAACAAAAAACGAAAAAACAAAAAAAGAGGACAGTGAGATCAAAAAGAGGACTGTCCTCTGGAATAGAAATGGGAGAATACTCTTGAATTTTGTGAATGTCGATTGTCGAAATATTTCTTTTCTTGTTGGAGAGACTTTACATAAGTTTTATCAGCTGCCAGTGTAAGTAACAAGAGGTAAAGTGAAGCAAAAGACAAGGGAAAGAGAAGCTAAGAGAGCTCAGGTGTAAGTTAATTGCGATGAACCGATAAATCGTATTTTTAATGACCTCGGAAGGTATAACACTGAACAGTACCGAACAGGCTGCCTTTATGCGATAATTGGGACTGTAACGGTAATTATTATTTTCCTCAATCATTATTCTCTTGTGTTTACTTTTTTCCCTTTATAATTACTTTAATATTGTGTAGCACAAATTATTAAACGTTTAATTCGCTAAATTTTAATTTATTTAGTTCCAATTTTTGAACATATTATACGAGAGGATCCATCAACAATTAGAACAGATGCTAAAACAAATTATCGATCGAAACATTTCACTGACGTTAGTTTTTTTTTGGATTTTCTTTACCTTCTTGAAAATGTATGTAAATACAACTATAGTGTATATCAGAAATTCGATTTCAAAATACTGCAATGTAGACTATGTAGAAAACGGTAGAGAAGATTCACTACTATATATCGATACTTTATTTCGGTTTTCGAAAACTAAAGAACCCTAATAAATCCTGTTTCAAAGCTTTTTAGATAAACCAATTGCTTAGATACACCGAAAAATCAAATTCCTTTGAAACCTAATAAGATTACATCGTCACGGTTCGTTTAAAAAAAGGGCCCCAGCGCTTGTCGAGTTCTCCAGACTACTTATTTTATGTCGAACCGTTGCCATATATCTATTTTTTATTGGGTAAAATTCTATGTAACACGATATCGGTATATATTCGGGTATAATGTTTCGGGTGTGTTTAAA